AGAAGCCACCGCAATGAAAAGCCTGTGCACCGCAATGAAGAGTAGCCCCTGCTCGCCCCAACTAGAGAAAGCCTGCGCACAGCAATGAAGACCCAACACAGCCAAAAATAAATAAAATAAATTTATTTTTTTAAATGTTAATTTCTATAAAAGGCCCTCATGCAAAAAAAAAAAAAAATGGTACTACTTGTATGTGATTTTAGAGGAAAGAACTAGGATTGATGGGTAACCACTGAATGGAGAAAGATTTTTAGCCCCAAATAAGGAATGGTTTCCTAAAAATGAGAAACATTTAAAAAATAGACTGTGCTACCTTGCAAATAGTGAGAAGTCTTTCTCTAGAGTTTTTCCAGTAAGGTGTGTGGATTTCTATCAGAATTATTGTGGAAAGCAATTATTTCCAGCTTTGGGTGGGAAGCTGAATTAGATGTCTATGACTCTCTGATACTATGAGAGCCAATAAACTGCTCCTTGATTCATCTGAGGTTTAAAAAATCATTCTGGGTGTTTCCTTTCTATGTTTCTGTTCATAACAAAGTCTGGACCATGCAGAGCTAATTCTTAGGCCTTTATAGTGCTATGTGGTAGGAAAGGAATCCTTATAAAGAAACATGTTAATCTTTAATACGTTTTTAAAGTTATTTTTCATAAAACGTAGAAGGCTAAGCTTAAGAAATGGAGAAGTACTTACATCAAAACTTTTCAAATATTTTCAAATATTAGTTAACCTAAAGATACTGCATCTCTGTATAAGGAAAGATGACTACTCTGTAGAGTCAGATGGTTACTCTGTTAGATATAATAATACTAATATTCCATGTAGTTATGTTAGAGTTCATATGAAGAAATCAGGCTACAGTTTATGAACTGGCAGTAAATCCTGTTATTTCTGGGTTGAGTGTAGCCAAAGACAAAATTTTGTATCATTAATCCAGTGATCGTATTGGACTTACTGCAAAGGTATACTTACTTTACTGACTCTGAAATGTAGTTGGACGTTTTAGGCTTATCCATGTTCCATGACTCCTTGTCTTATAAAATCTTTGTTTCCAGGTGAATGATACTCAACAGCAGCTACTTCAGTCATAAGAAGGGATTTTTTTCCTGTGTTATGTACATGAGGTTCAAGGCCACAATACCTGTTGGTGCCAGAGTCAAAGCGAGAGCCTGGGTCTCTTAATTCGTCTTTAGTGTTTTCTGCCTCATTATGACAATTACTGACTTTATAGTGAAGCAGTAATCTCTACTACGTGAGTAAATGTATGGGCATCTCCTTTAGGAGATTTCATGGAATTGGGAAAGCCCATTTCTGTTAAATAGGACCTTTAATTAATACATATATAACATTGGGTTCATCCTACATTCTGGCATCCTGCTAAGTGCATGCAAGTTACCCATATGGGTTTAACATGAATGTTTTATTCTAAGAGATTTTATCCTAAGCTAAAATAACCGTTGCTGTCATGGAGTTAAATAGCTTTCTCTGTGAACATATTTAGGCGACTCCTCTATTAGGAAATTCTAGAGATCGAAGGAATAGCAAACTAGAATGAACAGTTAGGTGAAAATCAGACTACTACTCGCTTGAGTCCTTCAAAGAGAAGAGAGAAAGTGGCGAATGAATGTGTGTGTGTGTTGTAAGGTTTTCCCTTCGATTGTTACCCGCTGCTACTTCATGATAGTGTCTTGGTGGACTTGGGTTCTATAGCAATGAGACAGTGGACATGAAGAAAATAAACGGCTTCCACTTCCCCGCCGTTTCTAGTTTGTCTGGTGAAACCAAGGAGGCCCGTTATTTAAGAATCAGCTTCTTGGACTTCCCTGGTGGTCCAGTGGTACAATTCCACGCTCCCAGTGCAGGGGGCTGGGGTTCGATCCCTGGTCAGGGGACTAGATCCCACATGTGTGCCACAGCTAAGACTCGGCACAGCCAAAATAAATATTTTTAAAAAAATCAGCTTCTTGGTGGCTGTCCCAGAGATCTGTAATATAACACTTAACCCAAGTCCAGGATTAATGTAGAAGAGTTGACTGGTCTCTCCAGTCACAGCTGAGAAGGATCACAAAAGATTTCCTACCACGCGCTGCCCAGCCGAGCCAGCATTATCCAACCTCTTTGCCCTGCTTGCTACTGCCTACATTTTCAGTCCTTGGGCTTTTTAAAAGTACGCAAGTTAGTTGGCCAGACTTTCTTTTTTAAAAAAACAAACAAAACTCATAGTCTAACATCTCCTTCTTTAACTTTTCTAATTTATCTAAATCCAACACACATTTTCACACAATCAGACCTCATGGTCTCTAGAGACTAACTTGGGCCACAACTTGAGAAACAACTAGAACTACTAATCAAGTGAGGTCACTAGTGAAGTGCAAGTGCTCACATAATCTTCCTGAAAACAGCGTTGCATCAAATACCTTCCTAAATAAAACTCTGGAATGTTTCTGACCCACCCCTTCCACTGCCCAGAGGTACTACCCATTGGTGTTACTGAATTTATCTTTTCTCTTTTAGAGACTGGGAGGGAAAAACACTGTAAACCTTCTATAGCTGCATTAGCTGTAGTAGTTAACGTTCTCTATAATGATACAAGCCTAGCTGTATCTAAAAAGAAAAATCAAATAACCTTTGAGTGCTGAAAGGCAAAAACTAGGTGAAGGCTTCTGCCAAGAAAATACTTTTAAAAATCATAAGATCATGAAGATAACCATTAGTATGCTTTGTGTGTGTTGCTTTATTTTGTAGAAGTCAACCAGTTTCTAATAGACAAAGGAATAGATTGATGCACACACTTTTAAAAGAAAATTTGGTAACATTCTCATTATTCATATGACTTAAATGGTTGTGCTTCTTTGACTCATTTTCAGGATACATTTACAGTTGTTTCAAATAGGCATTTATTCACTTTAAAACATTTCTTCTACCCTATTAAAAGTTACACTGCAGATAAGCATTCGAAAGACCTTGCTTGCGTGAAGTTAAACTAAAAGATTGTTGAATGAAAATGAGTGAAGTAACCCAACTTACCAAACTATTCAGTGTTAATATGAAAGGCTGCAAATTTCACTTTCACTGATTTCAGTCCCATCTGTCCAGTTCATTCCCAAATTACCCATCGGACCGACATACTTCAGACATTAGCACCGTATATGAAGCTAAAAATATATTAATTTAGTTATATAATAAAGTAAATTAATATGTTTTATGTTTATCTCCAGTAGTAGCTTCAAAATTCTTACATAGGCAAAGAATGGGATGGGATGGCTGTCTGGTTGGAAGCAGAGATGGAGGGTAGGGACCTCAGGGGAGGGCTTGAAGCATCTGTCATTTAGAAAATTGAGAAAACACGCTACATAATGCTCTCTATTTTCTGTCGAATAGAAATGATTCATCAGTAAGATTAAGGATAGTAATATATCATAAAGGTGCTCATCTAGCAGTATTCAAAACAGTAGCTCAGGAAGAACCAGGTGAGAAGATGTGTGATGCAATTGCTGATTTCAAAAAATGGGGGTCAGAGACTTAGATTTACATAATTTTCTTTATTTTGACACAGTATCTTGGCAAAAGCAATGGGCTTTGCCACGCATGGGGTATAATTGTAACAAATCATTTTGTCTTCTTTATATCACCTGTCAAATAGCTAATACTTGTCACAGCTCTCTTTTTTCCACACCCGCCCGTAGAGTTGTCTGTCTTTATCATCAGCCCAGTGTTTTGGGAGACAGTGTTGGGCTGATGACTGAATGTTGATTAATTAATTGAGGTGAGACCCCAGAAGGTGCTAAAAATAACATGAGATATCTAAAATTATTCGTAAAACTCCCTAACCATCATAGACGTCAGGTAGCCATTTAAAAGGCCATTTTTTTTTCCACACAGCGCTCAGGCTGCATTTTGCCTTTCTGTGACTTGTTTTCTCTCTTAGAGCCTCTGCTAATGATGCTCAGTTTGATTTGACATCTGGATTAAAATGTTAAGGAAAAGGTATGATTTTCCTTTACTTCTTAGAAAAGGCTTTATACAGTGAAGTGTGGAGCAACTAACTGTCACGATAATATACTTCAACCAAAGAAGGATGTGATAATGATTTCATTCAGCAGGGAAAGAGTCTGGATGGCTCAGTAACTCCCAGTATCGGCTGGTTCCGTAGCTTGAAAGAAGGAAAATATAACACAGTCTATCCGTGTGACTCAGATTGTCTCTTAGTATTAGCAGTAAAAGAACACATCTTTTGACATTACCATGAATATCCTGAAATACTGTAGATATTTTTAGAACATATAGAAATAGATTAGAATATAGATATATAAATAGGTAGGTATGATTAGTGCTTAAAAATTAGAAATAAAATCTGGCCCATGTCTTTTCCAAGAAACCATTAAAAGCTTTCCTTTGTTTTCACATTCAAAAGGATAGCACTTGTACATGCAGAAAAGCCAACCTGCTTCCCCTCTGCTCAGTACTTGATAACCAGAGCACATACAAACAAAATCTCCTTTCACTGCTGCTGGTAATTGTGAAAGAGCTGTATTCTTCCCCATGTCCCCAAATTCAGAAGCTGGTACAGTTCCAAGGTGTCCTGAATACAACTATCTGGCCTGGGGTTAAATCTCCAAGGAGTTTGGTATTCACTCACAACTTCACGGGGAAATAGAAGTTGTAATAATCACTACAAATACCTTGTGTCGCCACCGTAGCAGCATTTTTGGTTCCTCACGTATCCAGTATTGAACCACCGAATGACTTCATTTTCTAACTGTGAAATTGCCTCTTTGTTTTTCTGTATGGCAGATTTCATTTTATTCCCTTGAAATTAAGGCAAGTTATTTAATATCTTTTAATGAGGCCAGAACATTATAAAAGAAATAATGTGTTTGGATTTTATGTCCATTTTCTTGGAGAGAAGGCCATAACTTGCAAAATGACTGGCAGCAGGGTAACTAATATAATTATATTCATGATTAAAAATTTGTATTTGTTTAGTCAGATTTCAGTTTCCTTAAACTTGGTGAACTTCTGTGTAACCAACAAATTCACAAATTAAGCTTTGTGAATTTATTTCTAAAGTGTTTAAAATCTATTTTCGTGACTTAACAAATCCGGTATACTTACGTCATGTCTTTGTTAACCAGGGGCTGTTCTGCGCTCGTGAGATACATCTCTGAGCGGTAGGTATAGCTCACAGTACTTTGTGTTTACACACTTACGTCTCACCAGCTCTTTCCCCAACTCCCCGCAGTTCCCCGCACTTCGTCTGCCCTCGCCATACGCCCATAACCAAGTGCTGTTTTCTGTCTCTTCTTTTCTGTTCCTTTGGGAGAGATCACAAAGCGTTCCCCTCTTGCAACCCCAGTACTGTATGTAGATTTAAGTACATCCTGTACCTTTTTCATCCCTGCATTCTCTCTCCCTGGGTCCCACAGGGAACTGAGCCATGAAGAATCCCAAGTAGCAGACTCTTTACTCAGCATTACTCCTCATGTCCAGAGCTTTGTTATTGAGATACCTTGTCTGTATCTGACCACTCCCCGATGCACCTCATAGGGGTGAGTGCCCTCCCACGATATGCTGCCCAGGCTCTTGTGCAAAGAGGACTGACTGCCCCAGCGGTCCGCAGAGAGTTCTGAGCCAACAGGTGAGCCGGCAGCACCGCCTTACAGTGTGTCAACATAGCAGGTGACTAAACGCGTATACGCCCTAGAGAGACTAGAAGACTATTTAAAATGCATTACAGGCAGACCTCGATCTATTGTACTTCACAGATCCTGCATTTTTACTTATTGAGGGTTTGTAGCAATGCTGTATCGAGCAAGTCTATCCGCACCATTTTTTCCAACAGTATTTGCTCGTTTCGTGTCTCTGTGTCACATTTTGGCAATTCTCACAATATTTCAGACTTTTTCATTATTCATTATGGTGATGTGTGATCAGTGATCTTTGATGTCACTACTATGACTTGCTGAAGGCTCAGATGATGGTTAACATTTTTTACCATAAAATATTTTATAATTAAGGAATATACATTATTTAGGCATAATGCTGTTTGTTGCATACTTAATGTACTACGGTATAGCATAAACAACTTTTTTTCTTTTTTTTTTTTTTTTTTTTTTTGCGGTACGCGGGCCTCTCACTGTTGTGGCCTCTCCCGTTGCGGAGCACAGGCTCCGGACGCGCAGGCTCAGCGGCCATGGCTCACGGGCCCAGCCGCTCCGCGGCATGTGGGATCTTCCCGGACCGGGGCACGAACCCGCGTCCCCTGCATCGGCAGGCGGACTCTCAACCACTGCGCCACCAGGGAAGCCCCAGCATAAACAACTTTTATGTGCACTGGGAAACCAAAAAATTCACGTGACTTGCTTTGTTGTGATACTCCCTTTATTGCAGTGGTCTGGAGCCGAACCCACAATGTCTCCAAGGTATGCCTGCATTGAAATTAGTAATTTTTAAACATTGGTATTTATCTCTTAAATATCTAGAACGAAGAAGATATTTAAGAGTCCTTCTAGGTGGTTTTCACTGAGTCATGGGTCTCTACAATTTTGGAGTTACTGCTGTCTCAGTATCCCTCTGCTTTAAAATACAGGGATACGTTGTCAAATGTCTTTCAGTCTCTCTTCTCTCTTCCTAATCCCCAAAGCTCTTTTTTTTTTTTTAAACGTAGATTTTATTTATTTTTGGCTGTATTGGGTCCTTGTTGCTGTGCGTGGGGGCTACTCTTCGTTGCCGTGCGTGGGCTTCTCATTGTGGTGGCTTCTCTTGTTGCAGAGCACGGGCTCTAGGCACACGGGCTTCTGTAGTTGTGGCTCGAGGGCTTCAGTAGTTGTGGCTCGTGGGCTCTAGAGCGCAGGCTCAGTAGTTGTGGCACACGGGCTTAGTTGCTCCATGGCATGTGGGATCTTCCTGGACCAGGGCTCGAACCCACATCCCCTTCATTGGCAGGTGGATTCTTAACCACTGCACCACCAGGGAAGTCCAACACTGTTTTTTAAATTATTATTTATTTTTTGGCTGCGTTGGGTCTTCCTTGCTGCACGCGGGCTTTCTGTTTAGTTGCAGTGAGCGGGGGCTACTCTTCATTGTGGCGTGCAGGCATCTCATTGCGGTGGCTTCTCTTTTTGCAGAGCACAGGCTCTAGGCGCGCAGGCTTCAGTAGTTGTGGCACGTGGGCTCTAGAGTGCAGGCTCAGTAGTTGTGGCGCACAGGCTTAGTTGCTCTGCGGCATATGGGATCTTCCCGGACCAGGGCTGGAACCCATGTCCCCTGCAGTGGCAGGCGGATTCTTAACCACTGCACCACCAGGGAAGTCCAGTCCCCAACACTGTTTACTTGTCATGTACATATTCACACATAATAATCCTGATAACTCTCTAAACCTGTGAAAGAAGAATGTTGCCAAAGGAAAAAGAGGTCAGAAGTGGACCCCTGAAGTTTGCAAGCCCATTTCTGGTGTGATACTGGCAAACTCGTTCATTTATATATATATATATATGTATATATATATATATATATATATATGATAAATACATTCCACAAATGCTTATTGAGTGCCTAGTGTATGCCAGACATAGGATCTTGACCAGTTTGGGAGAAGGTGAGTGGTCAGGAAAAACCAAAAGACAATTAGGCGTCATTCAGGCAAAAGGAAGAACACCCACGTGCAGGGAGGTGGGGACGGGGAAGGATGGATGGAGAGATACGCATTGGGGGATAGTTAAATGTGCCTGGGGCAGAGAGTGCACATAGGCATCTGGAAGGAGAGGAGGCTTAGAAAGGTGAATTTTGGCCAAGTTGGCTAAAGAACTTAATAAGAGTTATTTGATTTTTTAAAAAATTCCTCAGATTTTGCCCCTATGCAGAACAGTATGGAGGTTCCTTAAAAAACTAAAAATAGAATTACCATATGACCCAGCAATCCCACTACTGGGCATATACACAGAGAAAACCATAATTCAAAAAGACACATGCACCCCAATGTTCATTGCAGCTCTGTTTACAATAGCCAGGTCATGGAAGCAACCTAAATGCCCATCGACAGACGAATGGATAAAGAAGATGTGGTGCATATATACAATGGAATATTACTCAGCCATAAAAAGGAATGAAATTGGGTCATTTGTAGAGTTGTGGATGGATCTAGAGACTGTCATACAGAGTGAAGTTAAGTCAGAAAAAGAAAAACAAATATCGTATATTAACGCATATATGTGGAACCTAGAAAAGTGGTACAGATGAACCAGTTTGCAAGGCAGAAATAGAGACACAGATGTAGAGAAGAAACGTATGGACACCAAGGTGGGGAAGTGGCGGGGGTGGTGGTGGTGGTGGTGGTGTGATGAACTGGGCGATTGGGATTGACATGTATACACTGATGTGTATAAAATGGATGACTAATAACCTGCTGTATAAAAAAAAGATTAATTTTAAAAAATCCTCAGATTTTATGGCAAACAATGCAAATTCTTCCTGTAACATCCAATTGGATGTCAAGGAATCAAGGTTAAAATGCAGGTGTATATGTCTGGGCTATCTTAGTGCAGATCACTAATAGAGTGGACTTTCCTTCCTGAGTTCTGTACTGTGTTATTTGCACTATATTAAAATAATAATAACACTGGTAATGATAAAAAATAATGAGGTTAGGTCTTCCCTGGTGGAGCAGTGGTTGAGAGTCCGCCTGCCGATGCAGGGGACACGGGTTCGTGCCCCGGTCCGGGAAGATCCCACATGCCACGGAGCAGCTGGGCCCGTGAGCCATGGCCACTGAGCCAGCGCGTCCGGAGCCTGTGCTCCGCAACGGGAGAGGTCACAACAGTGAGAGGCCCGTGTACCGCAAAAAAAAAAAAATGAGGTTGCCACTGGACTTCACTTGGTTTGGGGCTTTGATTTTTTTTGTATAATTTTAACCTACTAGGGAAAAAAAATTCTGTTTTTACTTCTAACAAAATGGTAATCTGACCAGTGTTTTGAGAACAGACGGCTACAAACGCATTAAAGAAAGCCCTAAGTGGGTTTCTTTCGATCAAAGAAAAATCCTTCTCTTAGCGTGGGAATCGGCCACTCTTCATCCAGACACCTCTTGCTGTGGTGTGTGTTAGTGGATGAAGCGGAGGGGAGTAACTGAAGAGTTGAAGGACCCTCTGGTACCCTTCTGTGAAGGCATCTCTGAAAGACCTACAACAAAATACTCAACAGCTACCGATCTTTTGAAGATAGTTGAATTTTGTTAGCTTAGAGCATGTAATATAAGACTCAAGATTTAACCAAACACTGCCAATTACTCTTGAGAGTTGTGCTGATTACTATTTTTTCCAGCTTTATTGAGATATAATTGACATAGAACATTGTGTAAGTTTAAGGTGTATAATATGATTTGACACATTTATTGCAAAAAAAAATTATCACTGTAGCATTAGCTAACACTATCTCATCACATAATTACCATTTCTTTTTTGTGGTGAAAACATTTAAGATCCACACTCTTAGCAGCTTTCAGGTGCTATAAAATACAGTATTGTTAACAGTATTCACGATGCTGTGTATTAGATCCTCAGAACTTAATAATCTTATAACCGGAAGTTTGTACCCTTTAACCAGTGTCTCCCAATTTCCCCCACCTCCCAGCCCCTGGTGGCCACCACTCTGCTCTGTTTCTATGATTCAGCTTTTTTATATTCAATGTATTTGTCTTTCTCTGCCTATTTCACTTAGCTTAACATCCTCAAGGTTCATCTGAGTTGCTGTAACAGTAGGATTTTCTTTTCTCTCGTGGCTGATATTCATGTGTGTGTGTGCGTGTGTGTGTGTGTTGTTACATCTTTATCTGTTCACCCATTGATGAATGCTTAGATTGTTTCCATATACTGGCCTTTGTAAATAATGCTGCAGTGAACATGGGGGCACAGATTTCTTTGAGATCTTGTTTTCATCTCCTTTGGATATATATCTAGAAGTAGGATTCCGGGATCATGTGGTAGTTCTATTTTGAATTTTTTGAGGACCCTCCATACTCTTTTCCACAGTGGCTGCACCAATTTACATTCCCACCAACAGTGAACAAGGGTTTCCTTTCTTCATATCTTTGTCAACACTTTTTTTTAACTCCTGTCTTGTTGACAACAGCCATTCTAACAGGTGTGAGATGATAGTTCATTATGGTTTCACATCT